CATATTAATCTTTGACTATATGTCTTATTATATTTCCTTAGGTTAAATTTCTAGAATTGAAATATCTAGGTTGAAAGGTATCAGTATTTTTTATTGTATCTTGCCAAATTGCTTTTCAGAAAGGTTGGCCCAGTCTTTTTGTCTATTAATGGCATATTAGGGTAACCTTATTAACAGCATATGAGGTTGCAGACATTGAATTTCGTTGCATTTTTATCTTCAATTTCATGGGTGCAAAACTGAGTATCTTTTTATTTATTTTGGTTTGGGATCTCATTCTGTCACCCAAATTGGGGTGCAGTGGCACAATCATGGGTCACTGCAGCCTCAAACTGTGGGTTCAGGCGATCCTTCCACCTTAGCCTTCTGAGTAGCTGGGATTACAGGTGCATGCTACCATATCTGGCTAATTTTTGAATTTTTTTTTTGTAGAGATGTAGTCTTGTTGTGTTGCCCAGGCTGGTCTCGAACTCCTAGACTCAAGCAATTCTCCCACCTCAGCCTCACAAAGTGCTAGGATTACAGGTGTGAGCCACCATATCCAGATATTTTTTTTAGAGACAGGATCTCTGTCACCCAGGCCGGATTGCAGTAGCACAATCATACACACTGTAGCCTCAACTCCTAGACTCAAGGAATCCTCTTGCCTTAGCCTCCCCAAGTAACTGGAGTTACAGGCACGCACCACCATGCCTGGCTAATATTTTTACTTTTTATAGAGATGGAGTCTTGCTATGTTGCCCAGAATGCTCTTGAACTCTTGGTATCAAGCAATTCTCCTATCTTGTCCTCCCAAAGTGCTAGGATTACAGGCATGAGCTACCATGTCCAGCCCTGAATATCATTTTTAAATGTGCTATTTACTAGTGAGAAAATATTTTTTCTATATTTTTTACTTGTTTTTTGTTTGTTTCAAAATTGCCCATATACAAACCTTACGTCTATTTTTGGTGTGAGAAGTGGATTGGGACATTTTTCGTATTGACCTATAAAGTCTTTTTTTTTGAGTTGGAGTCTTACTCTGTCACCCAGACTGGAGTGCAGTGGCCACTCCTGGTCACCGCAGCCTCGACCTGCTGGGCTCCGGTGATCCTTCCGCCTCAGCCTTCCAAGTAGCTGAAATTACAAGCATGCGCTACCACGCCCGGCTGCTTTTTGATTTATTGTAGAGATGAGGTCTCGCTGCCCAGGCGGGTCTCGAACCCGCGGGCTCAGGCAATCCACTCACCTCAGCCTCTCAAAGGCGCGGGATTACAGGCTGAGCCACTGAGCCTGGCTATAAAGTCTTTTTTATTATCATTGTTACAAGTAGGTTTTACAGGCTATAATTTGTCTTTTAATTTTTGTTTTGATGTAAATGTTCCAGAAGTTAATTTTATGTAGATTTATTGCTATTTCTTGTTCAGTTGTTCTTCTGCCTATAAAATCTTTCTTTAACCAAATTTTGATCTGTCTTCTCTTTTTTACAGTTTAATTTTTTGCATATAATTATTATCTGTCTAGATATTATTTTTGTGCATGGTGTAAAATAAAGATTTTTTTTTCTGTAAGAGTAATTTTAGCAACATATTTTAGTAGTGCATGGCGAGTTCCCCTTGATTATGTTTCTCAGAATGTTCTTGGCTATTTGTATGAGTTTTTATTTTATTGTGTAAGAAATTACACCTAAACATAGCATTTAAAATAACAAACGTTTACTTTCACTCGGTTTCTGTGGACCAGAAGTTCAGGAGTAATTTAACTGAATGGTTCTAGCACAAGATCTTTCATAAGGTTATAGTTAAGATATCAGCTGGGACTACAGTCATTAGAAAGCTTGACTGGGTCTGGGGGATCCACTACCAGGATGGCTCACTCACGTGTCTATTGGTGGAAGGTCTCAGTGCTTTGATAACTGTTGACAAGTAGCCATAGTGCCCTCTCATATGGACTTTTCCATGGGGATGATTGTGTGTCCCTATAACATGGCAACTGGCCTCCACAGAGTGAGTGACCTGAGAGAGAGCATAAAGCAGGAAGAGTCACAGTGTTTTTTGATGACCTAGACTTGGAAGTAGCATCAGATCACTTCTGCTATATTCTACTGATCACACAGAGCAACTTTGATATAATGTGGGAGGGAACTATATACAAAGTATAAAATTAAGAGGTATGAATCACTGGGGATCTCTTGGAGGCTGGCTATCCATTTCTTTTTCTAAGAGAGGACATTTAGAATCATTATATCTCCCCTTGTGTGATGCCTTCCTCTTATTGTCATTTTATTTAATCCCCAAACCCAAGGGTAGCATTTGGAAATTGCTTCTTTCCTTAGTTTTCAGTCTTGTGACCATATCTGATTCTTAGACTTAAAATCAAGTGGAGGCCGGGAGTGGTGGCTCACACCTATAATCCTAGCACTTTGGGAGGTCAAGGTGAAAAGGATTGCCTGAGCCCATGGGTTCAAGACCAGCCTGGGCAACTGGCGAGACCTCATCTCTACAATAAATCAAAAAATTAGCTGAATGTGATGACGCACACCTGTAGTTCCAGCTACTTGGAAGGCTGAGGCAAAAGGATCGCCTGAGCCCAGTGGTTGAGGCTGCGGTGGCTGTGAGCATGCCACTGCACTCCAGCCTGGGCAACAGAGTGAGACTCCTACTCAAAAACTAAATAAATAAAGAAAACATAAATAAAATCACGTGGAGCTTATTGTCTGAGGCTTTGTTTTCACTGTCATTACCATTAGCTCAAAGACAAATTGTCACTCATATACTTATATATTGTTATCTTTTTTCTTCCTTCATCCAGCATTTATTGGCTACTGATTTCAATGAAGTAATGCAAAGAAATAGAAATTAAGGTTTTCTATGCATATACACACATATACCTTTAAAAATTGGCGCAGATACACATGGACTTCTATATGTACATGTTCTCTCTCTCTCTCTCTCTCTCTCTCTCTCTCTCTCTCTCTCTCTCTCTCTCTCAATACTAAGGAAGAGTTTCAAATCTTTAGAGCAAGGAGGGTTCCAGAGATAGGAAGAGACTCATGCAAGGCCACACAGTGATATAAAGGTAATAAAAATCTTGGTCTTTCTACCTGTCCCCCAGCTTGACTCATTTATCCTACATTTATAGAATATGTAAAATGTAACTGGATATCTACTTGTTTGAAATTAGAGTGTGTCCAGAATGGAGAGGAATTACTCAGCAATTATTTGGAGATTGGAAGTCTTGCTGCGTTTCTGTTTTTTCTTCTGAAGTTTAGCTGTGGCTCTTTCCAGTCAACTTTAAATTGGATTTGTAGGAGCCAGAGAGTGCTGAGCACACATCAGAATGTGGGTAATTGGGCAGTTTCCTGGCTCCCCAGAGCCACTGACTTGTTTGTGGATTGTGATCCATGATTCCCTCTGTCGTGCATTTTCAGAAAGCAAACTGGCAATCAAACAGTAATTGTTTCCGTCTGTGTGGATTTTTCATTCCCAAGACTGCCTGGCAAGGAGAAAATTGGCTCTGAGGAGAGTAAAGGGACCTGGAATTAGATGTCAGGCCTTCAGTGTACTGTGGATGTGGTGGCCCTCAACTCACATTTTCCAGTAGAGTCTTAATTTCAAATACTTTATTCTGTTGGCCTTATAAATAATCCAAGTGGCCTAGAAATTCCACCATCTAAATTGTATTTTCTAAAGAGTTTCTTACTGCTGAAAAAGGCACAGAAATCCTTTGTTAATCTGTTGCCACAGTTTTTATTTGAAAAATCGACTAATATACTTATGGAAAGAAGACTTTTGTTGTTGTTGTTGTTGTTGTTAAATGATGGGGTTTCCAAAGGCAAAAACTGTTGTATTTGGGACATATCAAATTAGAAAGCGCTGACACAATATCCTTGATCTCTGAGAAATTCAAGCATTCTTTTTAGCCATTCATTCAAGTATATGTGCCAGCATTTAGTCAGAGTCCTTTTCAGTGTCTACTGGGTGATGATGAGAACTCAGCTAAAAATGACACAAATCTGATCTCAGAGACTTCAACTTCATAGCCCATAATGGGGAGATGAGGCATGAATACATATAATAATACATATTTTAGAAGTGTGAGTATGTCAAAGGATTTAGAGATCTTGGGAAACTCCTAAAAGATTCCAGTTCACAAAACTCTCACCAAAATGAGTATAGTAATTGTTGTCTATTGCTGTGTGATAAATTAACCCAAAAATGGTGACTTAAAACAACCAACATCATTCATTTCTTTATAACTCTGTGATTTGGGTAGTGCTTGCCATGTATGGGTCAACCCTGTTCCGTGGGTGTCAGCTGGGGGCAACTCATCTGGGACTGAGGAACCAAGATGACTTCATTCACGTCTTTCCAGCAGGGTAACAGGGCTTTGTCACATGGTGCTTTAGGATTAAAGAGAAGAAGAATGGAAGCTTCCAGACCTCTTTAGGCCCAGGCCCAGAACTAGCACAGCCACTCTCAATGTGTTCTGTTGGTCAGAGCAACTCACCAGCCCAGTCCAGAGTCAAGATGCACCAGTCGAAGAGAGGTTTGGAATGCACATAAAAGAATGGGAGGTATTTTTGGTGGTCATCCATGCAATCTACTACATTAACGTAAAAGAAGACAAATTTATTCAGCTAAAAACTGAAGAATGGGATCTCATTGTCTTAACTAGCATGTTTTTGGTTACTGGTGAGGGCTGGCTGGGTGTGGGTACCCGTGGTCTATGTGTGAGCTTCCTATGTTGGTCTCAATGGGCACAATCACCCGCTTCTTCATGTCTCTTTTACTTCATTCATTTTAGGATTAGACAGGGGATTTCTGCAAAATTTACATTGTGAGTGATGTGCTGAGGCCCAAGTGGCCTTCCAGGTCTCTGTCCTGTCCCTTTCATCTCTCTCTTATTTTTTGTTCTTTTTTTTTTTTTTTTTTTTTTTTTTTTTTTTTTTTTTTTACTACCTTTGCTTTTTGCCATGTGTGTGCCCTCCTTACCGAGATCCCCGCCTCTCTCTTTTCCAGGCACTAAAACAGGTGCAGATCTTAGTGATGGTACTTGTGAACCTGGAGTGGCTTCCCCAGCCTCCTACATGAACCCCTTCCCAGTGCTTCATCTCATCGAGGACTTGAGGTTGGCCCTGGAGATGCTGCAGCTTCCTCAGGAGAGAAGAGCCCTCCTGAGTCAGATCCCTGGGCCAACAGTTGCCTACATGAAGGAGTGGTTTGAGGAGAGTTTGGTGAGTAGGCCCATGGCCAGATTGGGAACCACTGGGGAGCATAATTTCACAGCCCATGGAATGTCACCGCTGAAAGGAACTGTTGACTCATCTGTACACCTTCCAGCCTTTCATGCTTCCCATCCAGCTTTGGCCAGCCCCTGCTGGGTGGTCCTTCCCAGTCAAGCAACTTAAGCGACACACTCTGCCACCATGTGGTCTACAGTCCCTCTTTCCCGAGAAGAGGAAATCCAGGACTAGAGAAGAGCAAACCCTTACCCAACCCCAGGATTACATGTATGGCTTACTAAGTTATAATCTCTGGCTAGGGTCTCTACCCTCAGCTGAGTCACACTTATCCTTGTTGTTTGTTTTTGTTTTTTTGCCACAAATGAAAGCCTCGTTACATCATTCATTTCTCTGCCCCTACTCCCTGCCCTAGAACTACTTCCTGCCTGTAGTGTGGAATGCAGATTTGCTAACTCATCTCCTGCTGTCTCTAGGTTAAGCCCACAGACCTGCTAGTCACTAGGGGAAACAGATGGATAATCAAAACTATAAATATATTATGGCTTTGGTTACCTATCTGCTTCCTCGTGGAGATAAGCAGGTCAATTTTAAGAGACTAGTGATATCTAGGAATGGCTCACTAAGGAGGTGGTCTGGGATGTAGCCAATCAAGGCCCAGATGGAGGACACTGGGAAGCCAGTGGAAGTGCATGATTACATACATTGAGTTTGAAGATGTGGACTGAGATGCAGAATTCTGAAGCTAGAGTCCTGCAAACCAGACTCAAAACTGAAAAGTAGGCACAGAGGTGGAAAAGCAGGAACAGGAGCACTAAATTGGGAGGAAGGGGTTGATGTTGGAGACTACAGGCCAAGGAGGTTGAGACACGCTTGTCCAGAGGCCTAGTCACTTGTGATTAGACAGACTGTGTCCCAGATATCCTACCACACTTTCTATTTAGGAGGCCTCTGTCAACACAGTCTCATGTCCATGCCTTTCTCTGAACACAGAATAATCTTTATTATATCCATTATACACGTTAGTCAATATTTTCATTACATAGGCTGTCTGCCTAGCATTCCATGTAATAAACCTATACCAGATAGACAGAATAATGGCCCTTCAAAGATGTTTATATACTAATCACTAGAATATGTGAATATGTTACCTTAAACACCACTGGGAAAGGTTGCAGATGAAATTAAGATTGCAAATCAGCTAACCTTAAATAGAACGAGTAGTCTGTATTATCCAGGTGGTAAGCCCAATGTAATCACAAGAGTTCTTATAATAGCCTTCTCTACTGTTGTCTGAACCCTTTTTTTAGACTGTAGAGCCTGATTTTATATGCTTCCTCTCAGCTCTGCTCAGGACCTTACATAACCATGAGATTGATTGAAGTGTCTTCCCAAACAAAAGCCCAGTCTGCCAGTTGGACACAAAATAGCTGGTTTTTATTCCTCACTGTACAGTTCACAATGACTGTGAATGTTCCTTAGTTATCTTGTGTGCATGTACCTTAATTTATGTGACCATTTTTCTAATACTGACATTTTGATTATTTTTCATCTTTCTCAGTAAATGACATTGCTGCAGTGAATATCTTTGTGCAGATATATTTGATCTTATCTCTAGATATTTCCTAAAAGTAGAATTATAGAGTTCAAGTAGATTTACCATAAAATATAGAATATCCAGTTAAATTTTATTTTAGATAAGCAATGAATAGTTTTTATTAAGTATGCCCATGCAGTTTGCTATATCTGGCAACTCTAATTCAAAGGAATCACTGCCTTTATGCCTTTTGACACATTTTTCCAAATAACTTTTCAGAGAGATTTTACTATTATTATTATTATTATTATTATTGTCATTGAGTTGGGGGGATCTCACTTTGTCACCCAGGCTAGAGTGCAGTGGCATGATCATGAATCACTGCAGCCTTCACCACCTGGGCTCAGGCAACCCTCCCACCTCCTGAGTAGTTGGGACAACAGATGCCTGCCAGAACACTTACTATGTTGCTTAGCGATGAAGTCCTGCTATGTTACCCAGACTGGTCTTGAACTCCTAGGCTTAAGTGATTCTCCCACCTCAGGGTCCCAAAGCACTGGGATTATAGGTGTGAGCCACCATACCCAGTCTCATTGACAGGGTTTGATGTGAACCTATCACACTGCATCCTAATCAACATACAATTATCTTAATATAGTTAAGATTAAGAAACAGTTTTACTCTAACTTCTTAGGAGAAAATGTCTTCCTGTCATTTTTTGCATTTCTTTGTTTAGCAGAAAGGCTAAACTTTTTTTTATTAGGTTATTCATATTTATTCTTTTGTATTATCTCAAAACTTTTGATCTCATATCCTATTTGAAAAAAAGTTAATTCCTCATATTCACATAGCAGTATTTTGCTAATATATTTAAATTATAAAAATGCCCCAAAATAGAAGATTAAACTTTTTTGTTTGTACAAATGTATGGGGTACATGTAAAACGTTATCAACATATGTATAATGAGTGATGATCAAGTCTGGGTATTTAGGGTATCCATTGCCTGCCAAAATAGAAGGTTTTTAAAGGATAGATTAGAAAATAGTTCTCATATTTTTTCCCTCATACATCCCAGAAATTACCTTAACCCCCTGGGTAGGGTTATCCGGCCTTAGTCTATTCATATTCTGTGCTATTTATTAGGATTTTAGTCCTTTTCTTAACTATGTGAATGAATATTTATTAATCCTTTATTTGTGGCATATAATTTCCTCACTTTGTTTTTATTTTATTATTATTTTAATTTTTTTTTTTTTTTTTTTTTTTTTTTAGTTAAGGTCTTATTCTGTCTCCCAGGCTGGAATGCAGTGGCATGATCATGGGGCACAGCAGCCTCCAACTTCTGGACTGAGGTCTGGTTACTTTTATTTTTTATTTTGGAAGAGACAGTTCTTGCTATGTTGCCTAGGTTGATCTCAAACTCCTGGACTCAAGCAATCCTCTTGCCTGGGCCTCCCGAAGTGCTAGGATTACAGGCCCAGCCCTCATTTTGTTTTTAAATGATGTTTATGGTGGTTTTGGAAACAGAATTTAAAAGATTATAATTAACTCTATCAGTCTTTTTTGTTTTGGTTTCTTGTTTTCCTTGTAGCCCTAGAAAGGCCTTTCCCGGCCTCAGGTTAAATAACTATTTACCTTTATCTTCCTTTAGTAAGTTTATGGTTTGATTTTTTTTTTTTTTTTAAGCAGGATTTATTGAGAGGACAGAAAAGCTCCCATAGTAGGAGAGGACCCAAAGAGGTTGCCTCTGTGGTTTTATTTTTATCTCATGGATAGCTCTAGTTCATCAACAATATTTTTAGTGTGTGATATAAAAAATGAAAACTTAAAAAATATTTTTTTGGAAGTTTATTAAAAAATATTTTTGATCCTAAGGCAGTTGACATGGTTGTTGGTTTTTGCAAGATACATTGCAGGAAGCAGCTTGTATTCAGATTTGCAGTTCTGTTTTAGGGTTATTTACAATGGTTTTAAGGAATGCCTTCCTTTGGAAAGATTTTCTGAAAAGTGATTGCGTTCATAAATCTCTTAGAGTAATTATGGCCATCGGCAACCTACGAATGGTGTACTTTTAGGGGGTCAGAAGTTCATATAAACATTCTAAGACATGAGGGATGAATGTTAAGGCTTTAATTCTGGACAGAGTTAGCCTGTGTGTATTCTTGATCTTGCAGACCTAAAGCCATTTTACAGTCTAGCTGAACATACATTCCATGCCAGGTCTTAATGTGTATGGAAATAGAATTCAGAGCAGTGGACAAACTCATCAGGTGTTTTAGGTTGGAACTTTTAGCTAGAAATCATTGCCCCTCACATTTTGGTCTATGGCCCAGCAGCTTTGGTATCCCCTAGCACCTTGTGAGAAAAGCAGAATATGGACCTCCACACCTACTGAACCCTTTCCAGGTTGTTCAAATGCACATTAAAATTTAAAAAGATGCTGGGCGCAGTGGCTCAAGCCTGTAATCCCAACACTTTGGGAGGCCGAGGCGAGAGGATTGCCTGAGCTCAGGGGTTCGAGACCAGCCTGGGCAACTTGGTGAGACCTCGTCTCTACAATCAATCAAAAAATAAGCTGGGCCTGTATTTCCAACATCTTGGAAGACTGAGGTGGAAGGATTGTCTGAGTCCAGCAGGTCGAGACTGCGGTGGCTGTGAGCATGCCACTGTACTCCTGCCTGGGACAACAGAGTGAGACTCCAAATAAAAAAAAAAAAAAAGATCAATAACAACAAAAAATAATGAATCTTCAAAAAAAAAATACTTAAGAAGCACTGCTTTAAACCATAGAGATTCACTTAAATTATTTTTTAAAAATCACATATGGATTAGGATTGGAACTGGAACTGTCGAGGCAGTTTGAAAGATTAAGCAGGACTGACCAGTGCCTACCCATTCACGATGTCTGTGTATCCCTTGCATATTTGCTCTGTTCTCTGTAGACACTCTGGCTTGGTCATATATTCAGTTTCTGCTTTGTCATAACATTGATCTGACATGGTCTGACTCCGCCTCCTGACATCACTATCAGTTGGGAGACTTTCTCCAATAAAGTGGTATAAACAATAAGGAGATTTATATACCACTAACAAGATATCCAGAGAATGGGCAGTGCCAGGGTTAAATCAGTGTCTGGGTGACCTCCGGGGCACTAGTTCTTCCCATCTTTCTGCTCTACCAACTTCAAAGGGTTAGCTTTTGCTCTGGTGTGTTTTCTAACAGTGGCAAGATGGCTGCTGAAACTCCAGGCAACATGTCCTCACACAGACACAACTGTACAACTGTGTCCAGAGGTAGAGAGAAGTTTCTTTAGTATACGATTTTTTTTCCAATCAGCAGGGGAAATCTTTCTTTGCAATTCTCCAGCAGACTTTTCATTTAGTCCCAGTGGCCAAAATGCTCACATGTGCATACCCTAGCTGCAAGGGAGGCCAGGAAAGCAAATCCTGGAACTTC